GGGGGGGGGGGGGTCAAACTAAATTTCACCGCGGGCCACATTAGCGTTATGGTTTCACTCAAAGGGCCGGCTGTAACTTCAAGACTATATAAAAATACATATATAAATATTTAATATATATAAAATAATGTATTATATTACATTATTGCCTCTACGTTGGATTATTACCGGATAGGGTAATAACTTCATAATCATATGTAACTATACGTCTGAAAGCAGAAGTCTCGCGCAAATAATTGCAAGTCTCTTCAGTGCGCATGTCACAAAATGATTTTAAAAGAAAACCCAAATTCTGAAAAAAAAGTCAACATTAAAAAAAAAAAATGACATTTTGTAGATCGGCATGTAACCGTATAATAAGCGTATTCTTTGCAAGCTCTTGTGAGGCCGCATGAAGTGAAGGGGCCGGATTTGGGCTCCGGGCCTTGAGTTTGACACCCCTGATGTAGAGAGTGAAATTGGCCCAATTATGAGTTTAATCACCTCATCATCAGACGATAAAAGGATCTTAATTTCCTTTCATTCTTAAGGAAATCATCTTAATTAGAAAATTGTCAAATGTCATTTAGAAACATGCACATTTTGAACGGGATGTTTGAGTTCTAAAGTAAACAACTACAAATAAATATGATTTAAAACGGGAACAGATTGGATTCATTTTTACTTTCTTTCAGGATCATTTGATATAGCTTCCAGTGAATCTGTCAAAATAAGAGGTTTTTGATTATAAAGACAAAAAGGGTGTGGACATATTGTCACGTTGTCTCTTTGAGTCAGGAGGAGGAGGAAGAGGCAACGGAGACTGTGCCAAACAAAATAAATAAATATAAGAAAACCAGGCCTATCTCTCCTCTCAACCCAAAACTCAAACAAAAACCATCACTATCTGTGCTAAGAACTGGACAAAGCAGAATACAATCCACTAACATAGTGTGTCTAACATGTACCGTGATGAAATGTAAAGGGTACCCCATACGTAGGCTACCTAACTCCTCCACCTCCCACCACACACACATTCAAAAAGGTCGAAAAACAGAGTCCAGTAGAATCAGAACTAAATTAAATGTTGTTAATTCTGCCATTAAATTAAAAACAGTTCCAAAACAACAGCATCCAATGACAGAGCTCATTGTGTTGTTCTGACAGCATTACACTCAGAGCCCATTGAAGACCCCCGGCAGCTTTAATTAGACTCAGGCTGATCATTAAAAAGCTCCAGATTAAAACGCTCTGGAAAACATCGCGAGCCTTTAAACTGGGACATAAAGGGGGGGTAGTAAAGTAGTTTCAATGGCATTATGGAGTACAGAGGCTTTCTTATTTGAATTAAACACATCTCATCGCACGAGGAGAGCATCATAGCAAATGTAAAACACATTCAAATAGGCCTAGGCCTATATATTTTTAAGTGATTTTCGACAATACACTAAAATATAATATGTGTTATTTTAAGGGGAATACACAAAGCAGTGTTTGTGGTGTGTTTTATTCATTTAATTTGTGTTTCGTTATTTGAATGTGTTTTTGTTTTTTTACAGCGTATTTTTTTTTCTTCTTTCTCGCAGGTGTTTAACGCGCACTACAACCTGACGCGCCACATGCCCGTGCACACAGGCGCGCGGCCGTTTGTGTGCAAAGTGTGCGGGAAAGGCTTCCGACAGGCGAGCACGCTCTGCAGACACAAAATCATACACACTCAGGTAGGACACACACTTCTAGTCACATCAAATACATGTGTACATTGTGTAACTTTTTTGTGTTAGTCTCTGTGCTAATTATTTTTCTATAAAATATAGTGTGTGTGAGTTCTGCGGGAAGGGATTTCATCAGAAGGGTGAGGAAACAAAGAGTGATTTTATATATTCAAAGAAGTATGCTACTCAGATCTGGTACTTGAGTAAAGGAAGAAGGACTGAGATCATGCACAATAAATTAGTTAGAGTCTAAATGAAGCATTGTTTGATCAAAACACAGGTGCATTATGGGAAATGTAGGACAGACATTTTTGACAGAAACAGTACTCAGATCTAATACTTATATATTAGTATTCAGATATTGTACTTGAGTAAAAGTAGAAGTACCAGACTGTAGGAATACTCTGTTACAGTAAAAGTTCTGCATTCAAAATGTTACTCAAGTGAAAGTAGAAAAGTATTCATATTAATATATAAATACTACGGTAGAATATTACGGACATATGTGAATGGTGACCCTTCCCAGCCTTATAGTCTGTGGGATAAAACACGTATTTAATATGCTAATGATTCATTAGTGTTATATGAAGTAATGCTTCACTAATGCTATGAAGCAAGGGGTCCTACATTTCCCATAATGCACCTGGATTGTGTGTTTTGATCAGACCCTCCCTGCTTCATAGACACTAGAGGAAGATTCTGTTCATTTGTTTAAACGAATATCTTAAATGCAAGTCTTTTTAAGGCCGAACAGCTGTCAAAATGTCCGTGTCCTACATTTCCCACAATGCACATGGATGGTGTATTCAAGCTGTTTCTGGATTTCTTTCAGAGAAATTATCTTTGATTTTGACACTTTTGACGCCAGGAAAACAGTCAAAAACACAGCGGCAGAGACCGAGATATGTATAACTAACGGTACATTTCCCATAATGCACCTGGATTGTGTGTTTTGATCAGACAATGCTTCATTTAGACTCTAACTTATTTCTTGTGCAGCCAAAAGCGGATTCTTATGATAATAAGTTTGACAAAAATGTACTTTATATTGTCTGATTTTTAAGTAGTTTCTGAGATATCATTATATTTATTAAACAATGGGCTCTTTAGTGAAAGTATTTAGTGTTTTCTGACTCCTGTTCTTCGACTCTCTGCAGGAAACTACAAGAACCACAAGCTGACGCACAGCGGCGAGAAGCAGTTCAAGTGTGCGATCTGCAACAAGGCCTTCCACCAGGTGTACAACCTCACCTTCCACATGCACACGCACAACGACAAGAAGCCCTTCACCTGCCCCACCTGTGGAAAAGGCTTCTGCAGGAACTTTGACCTGAAGAAACACATGAGGAAGCTGCACGACCTCAACACCGCGCAGCCCCCCCCGCAGGCCTGAACCAGGCACTACAAACACTGAAACTGAACTCAAGTCCTGGTCTATGGAGCCCTGAAGGTGTTAGGAAGAAGAATATTTTAATTTATTAGGAACTTTTGCCCCTAAGTGACCAATCAGTGTGCTTCGTTACCCTGGTTCCAGTCATCTGGATCCTCTAATATGTGTCTTTTGGTGCAGAAAATCACAAAATCCTGCTCTCAGGCGGCTTCATTTAGACACTGACTTCTGTCTTGTGCAGCCATGAAGTTCTCCAAAACCTCAAGGAGGATTCTGACTACACATGCAAAGAATATATCGAAAAATATCTCATATTTGACTATTTTAAGGCCAAATGAAATGTCAAAATCAAAGCAAGGCTTAGATTTACATGACAAAACGGGTCCTACATTTCCCACAATGCACCTGGGTTGTGTGTTTTGATCCTCCCTGCTTTATTTTGACACTAAAGGACGATTCTGACAATTTGTTAAAAACGAATATCTTAAATACAACTCAATTGAGGCCGAACAAACTGTCAAAATGTCTGTGTCCTACATTTCCCACAATGCACCTGGATGGTGTTTTTAGGCTGTTTCTGAATTTTTTTCAGACAAATTGTCTTTTATTTTGACACTTTTAAGGCCAGGAAAACAGTCAAAAACAAAGTCTACGCGGCAAAAGCTGAGACATCCTGATTAGGCTTCAAAAACGAAGACTCCTACATTTCCCACAATGCAACTGGATGGATTGACTGGATAGGCCTTTCCTGCGTGTAGTTAAAACCCCAAATGCTCTGTCTGTAACACAGCTTTTCTGTCAAAAGAAAGCTGTCAAGCTAGTGAAGTTCCCCTTTAAATAGTTTGACACAGAAGATAACCAATCGTGTCGCATCCCAGATGAAAAGTTGACAATCGTGATGGAAGTATCGCTGTAAAATATTTGGTCGTAAATCCAAAACGACCAACGACAATCAGTATTTTTTGCTCCCTGTTAAAAAAAAGAGACACATTTTCACATTGAACCTATGAAGTCCAACAGTATTTGCTCACAAACGGTGACATTTCACGCTTGTTTTTGGTCAATGAAAGGCACAATGAGTAGGGAAAAAAACAGAAAACATCCCATATGAGCCTCTCGAAGCAGGTGGCGGCACAACTCTCTGAGTGGATGTTTTTTATTTTGCTATTTCTGGGACGATAATGGACGTAAACCCAAATAAAACCGGAGTGATCAGGTGCTACAACGTAAGCACACAATCAAGGAGAAGCGACGAAAACACACCATCGAAAAAACTGCAAATATAGGAACGCAAAACATCAAGTGGACAAGGATCTTTTTTAAATAAAAGCTGCACGGATACGCACATTACCCTCTGGTTGAACCTGTGAAAAAGGACCAACTTTTTAATGTTGTTGTTCACAAACCGCTGCCAACAAATCCTACTCATTGTGCTTTTAAGCTCAAGGGAATACATTCAATAAAGACGGACTCCTACAACTCCTACAAATAAACCAACAGTTTCCATAAGTTTCCTGGAAGAAACACAGGACTCCTCTCAGGCCTCTTGACCCTTTCCTCTTGAACTTGACCCTTCGTGACCCCTGGAGGCCCCTCAGACTCAATATAACGTGACCTCTCTGACCCCCAAACGCCTGGAAACGTCGGACTCTCTGCTCGCGTTGGACTGAGGACACTTCAGAGGACAAACTGAACTTTAAACTCCTCTGATTATTAGTCAATGATATTATAATGGTGACTAATTATCATGTCCTTAGTCATCAGTGATTACTGGTTTTCATTATTTTGCATCTCAGGATGTGGGATTGATGAGACCAGAGATGAAGTGGAGGTGAAACAAGTAAAAAAATTATTTACACCAAGGTTTCAACACAGAAGTCTTTGAAACTAATGTTATATATTCTGTCTTAGTCAACAAATCCCATAAACAGACCAAACCAGGTGATTTTATGCAACTAACTAAGTATTGTGTGTGTATCAAAGTCTAATATATCTTCTTTCTCTGTGCCATAGTGCGCCGTTGTCGTCCAAAAATATTAAAAAGTGATCATAATTTTGCATTTATATACATGTTCTTTTTTTACCTTGAACACACGCTGTAGTTTATTCTGACTCAATCCCACACACACCGTCCTGTTGACACCAACACACACCGTCCTGTTGACAAAAACACACACACACAGAGCACCAAATGTGGATTAATCCGCCGCTGAAAATAGTCCCCAATAAATGCACTATTGCCTCCTGTTTGTTTAAAGAGGCCATATTATGCTTTTTGGGGTTTTACCATGACTGGAGTGCAGTGGCATTTCTACAGTCAGTGGGGGCTCTAGGCAAACATTCACTGGGGTCCCCTCGAACCAGCTTTTCACCAGCACGCACAGCCCCCCCCTGCCTTGCCTGTTCGCAAGGTGCGCCCCTGCTGGAGTGTGTTATTAAAGTATTTTTGGCTTATTACAGACTTTCTAGCTACACCCACTTTCAATTTGACATCATAAAAAGATGTTAAGGTGGATACAAAGGTTCATGATCCTCCTTTTTATTGACCTGCAATGGTATTCCTATTACAAAATGACGGTGGAAATAATAACAATATTGCATACTAGCTGTTATATTCTTCGACCTTAAGTAACACTATAGTTCCTACACTGTTGGTGGGATTTAACTTCAGTACAAACCCTTCACCTCCACATCTCTGGTCCCGTCCGTCTGTTGTTATTTTTTTATTTAAATCTCAGGATTATTGTAAAAAAAAAAAGGTGTTTTATGATATTTATTTTAAATTGTACTACTGTTATAAAATAAGAATCATGTCACGGTGAAGGTTTGGGGCCTCCTGCTGCAGATGCTTAACATGGAACAAATAATAAATAACTGTGTGTAATCACTTGTTTAATTATTTTTACTTTAACATAAATATATACAAATATTTAACAAGGCCTGTAAAATGCATTTTGGCCGAACACATTAATACATTTAATGATATTTCATAAACACAGACATACTAAAAGATCATTTAAATTACTTTACGTACTGCTAGTTAACTTCATCTTAAATCATAGAGCCTATAAGAGTTTGGTTGTTGATTTATATGTTATATCATTAATTAAAATCTGAAAAGTCACTGAAAAAAACAAGTAGAAATTAAAATATCTGCCTTTAAAATGCCGTGGAGTTGAAGTAAAAGGTGGCATAAAACAGAAATACTTATATTAAGTACAAATACCTTCATTCTATAACAGTTTTTTAGGAAAAGTACCCAGTAACTTTCCAATCCTGATTATTTTCCCCTGTTTATATTATTTCCACTCACATAAGGCCAGTGAAAAAATAAGCTTCACCGTGATTGGCTGAGCGGGAGGCCGGTCCTCAGCTCTGGATGCTCATTGAGACCATATACAGTCTATGATTGAGACACGTTGCTGCTGTACAGATCTTTAAACGCTTCGCGCGGCCTGAAACGACCTCCGAGACGCACGTAATTTATTGTAGATGTGCTCGTTTTTCAATATGTGCATATTTTACGGGCGGTGACATGAACTTATCTCCATCTGCACGCTTTTGGAAATGTACCCCACTCCCTCCCTCTTTGTTAAAACATGATATAAACGTAGGTGCGTTTGTTTAAAAAAAAAAAAAAATGCTCTAAACATACACGGTGATACAGCTCTGACACCGCCCACACGGGGTGAACAGTACATCAAAACAAGGTTAATTTATCTAACGTTCCTCTACAGAGAAATTCCATCCATTCCATCCATGGATGTAACGATCTGCTTCGACTTCCACAGCGGAAAACTACACACTTCAGCAATGCAAACCGGAACCTGGTGGTGTTACTCTCAGAATAAAATACAAAAGTTGACTTGTAATAAAAAAGAAAAACACTTTTGATCGACTGGCAGGTTTGTCCTGTTGTTTTGGTGCATAAAGAGTCAAGAGTGAGGGTATAAAGTAACTAAGTACATCAACTCAAGCTCTGTACTTAGGTCAGAGTCCTGCACGGGTCTGATTTTCAAGACCCGCTTCCGCCCCGCACCCGCGACGTGCAATACCGAACCCGC